GACAGAATGGTAATGCAAAGTAAAATTCTCCCTTCTATAAACAGATTAAAAGGCTGACAATTGGCCTACCTACCCGGCTCCCCACTCCACACCCCTCAAACTAACAAGAGTTCAGTTAAGAATCCTAGGATGGGAAGAAAGAGCCACCAACTCATCCTCATCCTCTTCAGTGGCTCCTTCATCTCTTTCCACGCCTTCTAACATTACTCCTACCCATGGAGATGATTCACCCCCCAAAGGTGCCAGGATTTTCTGAGTCAGCTTCTGGATACAGCAAAGACATAGGGACAGTGATGGCTAGGGCCAGCAAGAAGCCGGTGCCAGCACTACCAAGAATGTGTGTCATCTGTCTAAATGGAGACAAGAAATACGCACCGAGTAAGCATTTTCCATGTGTGTAAAGGGACGCTTGAAAAGTGGCATCAGGGCCTTGGCACTCTGCTTTTACAGTTTCGGTTCTATTGTATTCTTTTTAAAGTGGCTGATCAAGATAAATGATTTGAGAAACATTTGGAGAATTAAGGGAAACTAAAGTTGCCAAAGCAAGACAAATTTAAATCACTTTCACTGCAATAGATTATGTTCAATACATTTCTACATAAAATTGGATGGAGGAACGGAAGAGAGGAGATCACTAGTCCCTTCTCCACCACCTCTCTGATCACTCAGGTTCTTACCCCAGACAATCTGACTCCCAATTTAAATTGATATAGAGTAATTGATAAACGCATCATCAGACCAGACCTCTCTCTTGAACCATCAATCCAACTATGTTCAATACTTCCCAAACTGATGTGTGCAATTTAATTCAAATAAAATTACCAACACAGGCTTGATAATCGTGTCAAAGATAATAACTGTCGCAGGAGACTCATTCACACTGACTCTCTGAGACTGCCAATGAAGTTAAAACCTTGAATCAGAGAAAAGAGTCAACATCAAGCTGGCCAGAATTAACCACAGAGATGTTGGAGGACCCAGTGAGCAGGGCAAAGAGACGCATAGGAAGCAGTAGAGAGAGATTTAAAGATTCTCAGATGTTTTCCATCTGGGAAACACGGGGGAGTGGGGTCAGTTCATTGTTTTCTCATCTGCTCTGTGGTTTATCAGCTTTGGTCCCATATTCTGACTCCCGAGTTTTTATTGATAATACAGTGATCTAGATAAATACACAAAATAACAATTTAAAAAAGAACTATGAAAAAAAGGAGGGAAACTAAACAACTGAATAAAACAATTATGGGATTTAGTACTGGCTTAGTATGGACAAATGAACCAGTAGAGAGCCAAGGACCAGACTTCATGGTCCTGTTTTGTTTTGTTTGAGACACGGTCTCTTTAGGTAGCTATGGCCGTCCTGGAACTCACTATATAGACCAGGCTGACCTCAAACTCACAGAAATCTGTCTAGTACTGCCTACCAAGTGCTGGGATTAAAGGCCAGTGATCTGCATATATGGAAGCAGAGGGAAAGAACTGTTTAATGAATGCCGCTGGATTGGGACAGCTGCTTTACCACACAGAAATTAGATCCATTTCAAATATTACACAGAAACATCTATTGCAGATAGCATCTTAGTTATTATTCTATTGCTGTGAGGAAACACTATGATCAAGGCAACTTATAAAGAAAGGCATTTTATTGGTAACTTCCTTACAGCTTCAGAGGGCTAGTTCATAATTATGGTGGGAAGCAGACAGGCATGGATGTCACTGAGACAGAAGCTGGGAGCTTTACATCCTGATCTTCCAGCAACAGGCACAGAGAGAGAGACAGAGAGAGAGAGAGAGAGAGAGAGAGAGAGAGAGAGAGAGAGAGAAGGAGAGAGAGACTGACTGACCTGAGCTTTTGAAAGCCTCAAAGCCCACCCCCCAGGGACACACCTCCTCCAACAAGGCCACACCTCCTAATCCTTTCCAAACAGCTCCACCAGCTGGGGACCAAGCATTCAAACATATGAGCGAATAGGGGGCCATTCTCATCCAAACCATAAAAGATGGAGTGAAAGCAAAACATGGACCTTTTAGAAAACACCGTCTGATTACACCTCTGACTTTGAAGTTCTACAGGTAAATATCATTTCGGAGGAAAGGAAAACACAAGCATTAAAATCTGAACCTTCTGCTCATCATGAAACCGTGAAAAAATAAGCAGAAAGAAACATAGAGCTACAGACACAGAAACTTCTTATTTACATAGATCAGCTGTATATGTGTGACATAACAAATGTATAGCATAATAAATGAAAAGATTCATGGCCCTGCCTAAAACACACACTCAAGGAAGTACCAGAACCAAGGAGAAGGGCTCAGTATACAAGTAGCAGGGATGGGCTAGGCTCACACAGTGGCCGATGTCCCCCCCCTCCGTGCCAGTTTTCTGCCCCCAGCACTGAGGACTGAACCCAGGGACTTGAGTGCACTAGGCAAGCACTTTATCACTGACCCATATTCCTAGTGTAAAACAAAGATAATCGGATAGAAGTGCCTGCCTTGCAAAATCTACTCTGGACTCTTTTTTTTTTCTTTTGTCCACTTTTTAACATTTCATGATTTTCACCCCCCCCCAAAGGTTTGCCCTTTCCCCCAGAGAACTCCTTTAAGTTCAACTACTGATCCATGAATATATTCAGCGATATTAACCTAGTAAGCATTACCTTGGAAAGTCTAACTGTGGTCATCTTTTTTGTTAATCCTTCCAAGGACTCTTTCTTGTTTTGAGATTATGTCTTTGCAAAGCAAGCTGTGTCTGTTTAATTAATGGACTTTTCCCTGAATTTCAATGATAACATGAAGTAAAAAGCATAGTCTGTCCTTTTATATTAGATTTTGGCAGAAGACTTAGCTTAGAACCTCCTGATTCTCTTCACAGTGTCTGATCACGTTTCATTTTCCGTTTATAATTATAAATGTAAGTCTAGATCAGCATCACGTGACTTCCTGCAATAATGGAAACGCTCTATTCTCCCTCAGGGTGCCAGCCTCGGGTGGCTAGCAAGTATTAGAAATGTGGCTAGTACAACTGCCGGGCCAACTTTCTAATTTCATTTATTTTAGTTAATTTAAATTAAGATGTGAAAAGCCACATGCAGCAGATGGTTACTATACTGTACAGTCTAGTTCTAGTTTCTTCTGTATTGACGACTCACATGGGCTCTTCCAGCCAATGTGTGGTCACTGCTGCGTTCTTCCACCTGACCCTCCCTTCTCCTAGACCTACTAAGCTCTGAGGAGAGAAAAGATGGCTGTCAGGGGAGACAGCCTAGTGTACTGCAGAAGGCCAGCAGGCCTTGGGAAGGCAACTGTGTCTGCAGGCCTCTCCCACCCCCTCTACTGCCGGACCCACAAGGACACACAGACAGAAAGGTGTGGGAAGGAGAGAGAATGTGCAGGAGAATGGTACTCGGCAGTCACCAGCACAAGAGGACAACATGATTCTTTCGTACATCTTTTTCCGGTACTGGATTTGAGAAAAGAGATTCCTTCAGAACAGGACACCACTGTTCCTAAGGGGTGGGGGTGCTCCAGCAAGAAATGAAGTGACAAAGGAAACGTGTCCAAGAGAAATGCTTGCTCCTTACTATGGTACCAACTTTGACAATAAGAAATATCAGAGTTTAAAAACAGCTCTAATCAACCGGTATCCTCATAGGCCAGGCAGATGGAGACAGAAAGGCCAAGTGTTTACGGCGGCAGAGACTGGAAAGATGCAGCTACAAGCGAAGGCACACTGAGGGCTGCAGGAAAAGTCTCTCTGAGAGACTCTAAGGAGGTATGGCCCTGTGAACCCTTGACTTAAGACTTCCAGCCTGCAGAACTGTGCGAGAACCCATGTGTTTGAGCTGCCTGGTTTGTGGTGTCTTACTACTGTGACAGCGACCCTGGGAGTTAGTACAGACTCGCTCCCTAAAACAGGACTGTCCCACACACAGGAGAAGTGTCCCATGTTTTCGTACGGCTGAAAGTATCTAGGTTCATATTCTGATCTTGCTTGATGTATTGTTTGCAAGACTACATTTCAACAGCATACTAGCTTGGGACAACAGTAAAAACTCACAACAACTTACTAAAAAAAATTGGTGTGTGTAAGAGCACGTGGTGGGGCAGAGACTAAAGGGGGCAGGGGCAGCTCTCTGTAGTGGACCTTGATTTCCAATCAAGAACCAGCCAACCTGGCTCAACACGACACAGCAGAGCCCGGAGCCACAGAAGGCAAGACTCACACCCACTTTCTCGTTGGACTCTCATATTGCGTCTTCAGTCTTCTGCCTAGACACGATCTTTCTCTACTGCTGAGAACATAAGCCAACAGCTCCCCAGTTTTATCTTGTACAGAGCTTGCCCCAGAGAGATGAACTCGGTTCTCTGGGTCTGCAAGCGCGAAAATCCCAGACTCTGACGGCCTGAGTTTCATTCGCTGCCCTCGCCTGAGCTGTCTGATAACAGCCCTTTGCTAGGCATTTTCTGCAGAGAAAGATGGAGGGCCACACGGGAGCAACTCTGCGCCAGTAAAGATGTGATTTTACCTTTATTTTTTAGTTTGCTTCACCTTTTTTTTTCAACCTCACTGATTAAAATGCTAAAATAAAATCACCAAATAGGGATAGAGAAATAATTCTAAAGGTAAATACAAATGTGATTTGAAGACAAAGTGATCACAGATATAAAATAAATATAACGCATTAATAAAGAACTTTAATGAAGACCCATTAAGCATCATCCTGAATACTTTATATATATATAACTATAGAACAAAACAATTTTCACAATTGAAATTCAATAAATAACTCTAAAATAACAGTATATGACAGTAAGAGCTACTTTTAATTGGAAGATTTATTTTAAAGAAATTTTCATCTCTTGGTAGTAAAGGATACACATTTCTCCACCAGTCCCATTTTATTGCCTATTGTGGGCAGGGCGCTGAAATACCAGGGAATTCTTTTCAGAGACAACTGAACTTGATGGACAACTTGCAACTTATAGACATGATCACGCACCTCAGTAGCAGAGTCTCTCTTTCGAGCATCCTCAAAAGAAACAATTTTCTTGGCACTCATCTCATCAGAGTCAGCGATGACGTAATCCCTGGGGGAGTACGCACTGGACAGGCTTCCAACCAGTCTCAGGATCTCAGTGGTATGTCCACCTAGAAACAAATGTAATATGGCCTAAGATTAAGAAACACCATAGGGCCAGGTGGTGGTGGCACATGCCTTTAATCCCAGCACTTGGGAGGCAGAGGCAGGCAGATCTCTGTGAATCACTATAGTCTGCATAGTGAGCTCCAGGACAGGCTTCAAAGCTATACAGAGAAACCCTGTCTTCAAAAACAAAAACGAAAACAAAACAAGACAACAAAAAAACACCCATGCACCATTGGAAGGATTATTGGAGAGGTAGCTAAGTGGTCAAGAGCACGTGATGCTCTTATATCTCATGCCCATTCTTCACTCCAGTTCCAGGGGACCTGACACCCTCATCAGCAGCCCTCCATTGGCACCAGGCATGCATATGGCACACACAGACACACACACACACACACACACACACACACACAGACACACACACACACACACAGACACACACACACACGTACAGACAAGCCACTTATAAATCTAAGGAAAAAACGGGGAGAAGAAATGTAATATGGGCTTGAGAGATGGCTCTGTGCATAAGAGCTTGTACTTCTTTACTTCTTTTGTAGAGAATCCAAGTTCAGTCCTGAGCACCCACTTTGAGCAACTCCAGCCTCAGGACACCTGATGCTTCCATGGTCACCTGTATACACATGCACATACTCCTTACATAGACGCACACATTCACATAATTCAAAATAAAATCTTAATTTCAAAAAGGAACCTACCATGTGGTGTGGAACAATTGTCTATATTCTGTCAATTATGTTTTAAATAAACACTGATTGGCCAGTAGCCAGGCAGGAAGTATAGGTGGGACAACCAGACAGGAAGTAGAGGTGGGGCAATGAGAACAGGAGTATTCGAGGAAGAAGGAAGCTCTTCCCATAGTCCCGTCCAGACATTTCAAAAGCAAGATGTGACCTGCCCTGCTGAAAAAGGTACTGTCTAACATAGATAAGAATAACGGGTTAATATGAGTTATTAGAGCTAATACAAAATCTGAGCTGATGGACCAATCAGTTTATCATTAATATAGACTCTCTGTGTCATTTTCTTTGGGACTTACTGGCTGTGGGAACTGGGCAGGACAGAAACCCCAACTAGCAGGCCCTCATATTACAAGCCAGGTAGTGGTGGCACATACCTTTAATCCCAACACTCGGGAGGCAGAGGCAGGTGGATCTCTGTGAGTTTGAGGCCAGCCTGGTCTATAAGAGCTAGTTCCAGGACAGGCTCCAAAGCTACAGTGAAACTTTGTCTTGAAAAACCAATAATAATAATAATAATAATAATAATAATAATAATAATAATATCTTTTTAAAAAAAGTATGGTGCATGCACATATAAGACACTTTCTCAGGAAATCAAGAAAGCTGGCAGGGAAAAGGCAAGATACACACATACACATAAAGAGAACACAAAGCAGGAAGAAAGCCACAAAGGACTATGAATAAGAAAACAAATCAATTCCCTCAAAACAAGAACAATCCTGGAAAAAAATAAAGTTAAGAAGACTTGAACCAAAGAAACAACAGGCAGGCAGGAGCAGAATCGTAAGAGCATGAGAGAGTAAGATCTGAGCTGTTTTCATGGGGCAACAGGAACACTGGGAAGAAGGGTAAAGGTGGAGTCAGGTCAGGCAAGCAAGACCAAGACAAGACAAGAAGGCTTCTGTGTGGAGAGCTGATTCATGCTCCGACCTCAGGGTGAAAGGTTCCCGGAGGAGCAATGCTGGCCTCTAACCTCAGGTCCCAGCAAAGGTCTCAGCACACTGAGGTCTTCAGCCCGTGACCAGTTCCACCAACGGAGTCTAGACTCAGTTTCTTAAATTCTGCTATCTAAAAAAAATACTGACACTTTATTTACAAAAATCATGACTTTAAAAATCAATTACAGTGTGGGCTAGAGAAATGGTTCAGCAGTGAAGAGTTCTCCCTGTTCTTGCAGTGGATTGGAATTCAGCTCCAGGAACCGCACGGAGTGACTCACAACTGCCTATAACTCCAGCTCCAGGAGATATGACACCTTCTTCTAACCTCCCAGGCCACCCTCCACACACACATACACATTAATTTAAAAAAAGGAAGTCTTTTATTAGGTAATCAATGACAATCATCCCCTCAGTAACTGTAGGGCACAGGATAAGTTCTTTACAAATAAAGTCTGTCGTTTTTACCTACACACTTAACCTATACATTTCTCTCCTATATATTTAAAAACATTCCTTGATTACTTACTTAATATAATACAAACACTACCTAAATAGCACACTGTGTTTCTTAAAGGATGGTGGAAAGTTTGCCCATGTTCATTATAAATGCGTTCTTTTTCAAGTCTTTTGGATCTGGAGATACAAAACCCACTGACAGGGAAAGAGAGCCAACGGAGTGTTCCTGTAGCTTCTTTCACAAGAACTATCATGATCACAGTAGAAGAGCATCTACCATAAACCATTTAAGCTGTGCCATCAAATTCCCTATCAGACGTAACTGTCCCGGCTTTAATTCACAAGCTCTGAGGTTAAGCCAGGCCGATCCTTAAGGATTTGCCATGCTAATCCTGTTACATCCTCCCTGCCTTGGGTTATGCTGCATCTCTGACTTAGAAAGCTCCTTGGTCCCCATCCCCTTCGCTGTTCTAAGAACGAGTTTTTAATAAGACAAAAACACAGAAGGATAAGTACACGAGATATGTGTTTTCCCTCATCATTTGAGTTTTCCCGGTTGTAGAATGAATTAGAAGGGAATGTGATGTGGCTGCCATGTGCACATCAGGAATTAGGATCACATGTTAACTTTATGACCTGCTGCGGGTCTTCTGCCCTGGGGCATGTGACTGACATGCCTGCTTTAGACTCATTTTAATATTTCCATCTTGGGCCTTGAAAAAGGGTTGTGGCTTGCCAAGTAGTTTTTTGGTTTTTTTCCACAGACGGAACAGTTAATGGTAAAACCTAAAATCCCCAGTGATATGGGAGTTTTGGAAGATTTCCTGGAGTAGCCTCCCTCTGTTACTTAAGGGCAACACTCAGGGAAAATTTAACCTGGTTTCCAAGCGAAGTCACTAACATCATTGGCTCTGTTACTAAATAAAGTCATTAAAATGACTGACTGACTTTGTTACTGAGGGTGTATTTTACTCTCTTATTATATTAGGAGAGGGGGCCGAAAAGATGGCTCAGTGGTTAAGAGCACTTGCTGCTCTTCCAGGGAACCCCAGTGTAATTTCCAGCACTCATATTAGGCAGCCCAAAACTACACATAACTCCAGCTCCAGGGTATCCAACAACCTCTTCTGGTCTCTGCAGGCACATGCATGCATATGCACACACACACACACACACACACACACACACACACAAACTCATTCATGCACATAAATAACAATAAATATTATTTTGAAATGGGGGTATAAAATCCTTTTAGTAGATGGGCATCCACACAAACATGCAAATATACAAACACAAATAAAAATAAATCTAAAAAAGAGACTTATTGAAGACCAATACTGTTTGGTTGGAAGCGTCACCTCAGCTCCCTGGCAGCCCTTTGTCCAAAGAGTCTGGAATGTTTAGTGGGGGGGTGGGGCTACATCCCAGCTCCTGGCATCCATTTTGGAATGTTGGGTGGAAAGCCCCATTTCAAGCTCCCTCCCCTGGGAGTTGCCTCAGTCCAAATTCCACCTCCAAGAAAGCCCACCAAACAGTGACCCTCCCCAGGTCAAGACCACTTTTATAGACTACTTAAACTGCCCCCCCCCGCCAGAGAACGAACACGAGGTCGTTCTGGTTCTCCTTTCCCTGCCTCCATATTTTCCCGAGAGGGCGGCAATTTTCCTGGGAGCGTTGGCATCCATTAAACCTGGGCTTTTCCTAATTCGATCTGATTTGGTTTAATTTGAATTATTGCATCGGCGGAGAGGCTTCCCTGGCCGAAGGAAAAATACTTCACAAATATGAACTGACAAAATACTAGTATCTATACTTTAATACATACCAAGCATCCAATCACTTCATTTTCTAATTTTTAGAGATATATTTAATACATATGAAGGTTTGTTCACATGTATATCTCTGCATCATCTGACTACCTGGCGACCATGGCAGTCAGAAGAGAGTCCAGGATCCTGTCATGCTCCCCACAGCTCCTGCAGCTGACCTAACCGGGTAGTAAGGGAATGAGAAAAGGCCTGCAGAGCCACAGACAGCCGAGGAATGGGGTGGTCGGGCTCTGTGAAGAAGAAGCTGCAGGACCCCGAAGCTCACAGTGTTTACTGTATACACTGAACAGAAAGAAAGGGTTATTACCTAGTGATACAGACGGAGACCGGTTTATCATATACAGCTAGACAAGGAGGCAAGATTAGCTCTGCAGGAGCAGTCTCTATAGCCGAGCAGTTTTCAGGCCGCACACATTGGGGGTGGGGGCCGCTACAGCGGACATTTTCTGCATACTCTATCAACATTCCCACTAGGACCAGAGAAAGGCTATGTCATCGCTCTGACCCTCACCTAGGCTTGGCCACTACCATGGGGCTGAGACACTGAGGTCCTTGATACAGGGGTTAGTTATGCTTTTATTGCTGTGAAGAGACACCATGACCACATCAACTCATAAAGGAAAACATTTCATTGGGGCTGGTTTACAGCTCAGAGGTTTAGTCCATTATTGTCATGGTGGGAGCACGGTGGCATGCAGGCAGACAAGGTGCTGGAGAGGTCACTGAGCAGTTTATATCTGGATCCACAGGCAGCGAGAGCCACTCAACCTGGCTGGAGCTTGAGACCTCAAAGTGGCTGCCAGGGATAGATACACTTCCTCCAATAACCCACACCTGTGCAGCAAGGCCACACCTCCCAATAGTGCCCATCCTCAGGGCCTATGGAACCATTTTCATTCTAACTACCACAGTATGGCATGGCTGTATCACCATACACATTCACACAAACCACCACAGTATGGCATGACGACATCACCATACACACTCACACAAACCACCACAGTATGGCATGACAACATCACCAATCCACAGTCACACAAACTACCACAGTATGGCATGGCTGTATCACTATACACATTCACACAAACCACCACAGTATAGCAGGACAACATCACCATACACATTTACACAAACCACCACAGTATGGCATGGCTACATCACCACACACATTCACACAGGACTTCACCGAATCCCTACAAGATCCTGGGAAGTGGAGCTACAGACGGTTGTGAGCCACCCTAGTGGGGCTGGGACTCAAACTCTGGTCCTCAGCAAGAACAAGTTCTCTTAACTGCTGAGCCGCTCTCCTGCCCCTCCAACCCCTTCTTACCACCTCCTCTGCTTCCATCTCTCTCGAAGCCACTCTCACATAAATTATGAATACAGCTTTACATAGATCATATCACCACTTCCTCTTCCTTTACTTCTCGAGTCTGTTTTCAACACTATATTCAATGTGTTCCTACTAAGAAAAATATTTGATAAATATTTTACTTCTGCTCAAATGCCCCCACACACAGTGGCTTTGCATCTCCTCACTTGAAATAACTTGTACTTGTCCTACAACTAATAGAGACTTTTGTCCTCTGTGTGGAAGCTATTCATTCTGCTTCATCTTCTGTTAGCTTTTCTAGCTCATTCACTGCTGTATCTCCGTCCTTCTCCTAGGGCCTGGCACATAGACATGACTCGGTGGCAAGTGATACTTGTTTTGGTTTATTCTAGTATTTATTTTATTTATTTCAGAGCTCAGTCTGGTCTTTCCCATGACTCAAAATGTGTTAAGTAAATAAGTAAAAAATTATAATTGCATGTAAGTTTGGTACATTTGCTTATATCTTAAATATTATTTTTGTATGTAGTTATGCATCACATAATGATGTTTTAGTTGATAATAGTATACTTGACAGTGGGGACATGAGATTAAAAGAAAACTTAACAATCCTTATTGCCTATGACAACCATCATAGCATAGTAGCCCAAGGTAATGTATGTTTGTAGTGCTATATAAACAAATTTACTGTGTTGCCTAGCATATAAAAAAAGCACAACATATACTATTAATATACAGTACATAACACTTTATAATGATAATACACAACTTCATTACTAGTTTATGTAACTTTTTATTAGAGGGTTCTATTTTTAAAAGTTTACAGTAAAACTGTAAGTCCAGTTGCAGAGGCAGACTTAAACACCTCAAACTTACTGTGTCTCATTTTATATTAGGCTTGATTTAATTTTATTTTCCTGCCCCTGGAGCAACAGACTATTCCATATGCATCTCAGATAGCACTGTTGTATAGAATTGGGTATCACTTTGGCTGTGTAAAGTCATGTTTGACTATACACCCGTTAAAACTGTTCATCTAAAATTCTAAGTTTAAATTCTGCTTAAATTTCAGATTAATTTAAATTTAATTTCAATTTTTAAAAACAAAAAGTATCACTCTGAAGGTATTGTTGTATGGAATGTCCACATTTTTATCTTCAAGGACTTAGCACATTTATGTGTGACAACTCTGCCTCGTTTAACATGTAAAGTTCACGTTTCTTAAACTAAATACAAAAGACCTAGATTAATAACGCACGGCAGCAAAGAGGGCAACGTATATCAGCATCAAGAAGCCTCAGCGTACTCTGTCGCTAATTATTTGTTAGAAAGCTGTACACGGCAGAGAGGCTTAATTACAGACAAGTGTAAATTACTTGTCTTAATGACAAGGCGGCTAAGTGGCGTCAGCTACCCAGCATTTTTTCCCTGTCTGGGCTGACCGGTTCCGGAAACGCAGAAAAACTACAAATCTCAGGATGCAGCGCTCGTGAAGGCGCTAAGAAGGGCGAAGAGACTCGCGATGCACTCTGGGGTTTGTAGTTCCGGACACAAGCACGTCCGCCACCGCCCGACTACTTACCGGATCCAGCAACTATCAGGAGTCCGACAGACTCTCGGAGAGTGACGTGATGGGGCTGAAGCACGACACATAGTCTTGCGACCAGCAAGATCGCTATTGCTCCCGCGGCAGCCGCGAGAATCAGAAAGCTCACCATGCAAAGGGACGACGCATGCGTAATAGTTCCGGCGCCAGCGGTCAAAGTTTGCCAGGACGTCCGGAAAATGAAAACGCTGGGAACGAAGCGCGTCCCTTTGTGGGCGGGGCTTGTCGGCGCTGGGCAGAGCTTGATGAGTTAGGTGGTCAAAGTTCAAAAGTGCGGTTCTGATTGGAAAACGCGAGCGACGTGTCGCTGGCGTCTCGGTGGGCGGAGCTTGTCTGTGATGGGCGGAGCTAAACTCAAGAGCCGGAATCTTCCTTCTTGGAATGGTTAAGACTGTGCTGCAAAGCCGGACGGTGGTGGCTCAGAGGCAGAAGAAGGCAGATGTCTGTAAGTTCGAGGCCAGCCTGGTCTACAGATCGAGTTCCAGGACAGGCTCCAAAGCAATACAGAAGAACTCTGTTTCGAAGAAAAAAAAAAAAAAGATTGTGCTGCAGTTGTGCCGGCCTATGTGAAAATGGGAGGTTAATTGCTAGAGAAGTTTGATTTCCTCCAGTGACCGGGTTAGGCTACGTGTACGCCAGAAGGGCCACGACCACGAAGGCCCGGGTTAGTAACTGGCTCTACCAGTTTTTACCTGAGGTTCACGGCATACATCATTACTTCTTTCCTTTCTTCCTCGCTTCTTATCAGACGCTTGGGTTCCACAGATGGGCAGAACTGAAGATGTGTGCCGGTCAGAGACATACCCTTAGGGGAAGAACGTTCAAATCCACCCTTTCCCAATGTTCATGTTTTTACTTTTCTAGACAATTTCACAGATCTCAAACTATGACCAGAGTCGTGATCACTTCAAACTATGTCATATTGCTGAGAGGAGTGGAAGCTTTCTTGACTTCAGAGAGCAAAAGGAGGAAGGAAGGCATAATCGTACAGTTGGGAGATAGAGACAGGAGAATCAAGTGTTCAAAGTCATCCCCAGCTACATAAATGAGTTTGAGGCCAGCCTGGATTGCATGAGCCCCTCTGTAAAGAAAAGAAAAATTCAAAACTTAAATGCAGTATCTCTCTTGTTGTCATTTGCTAATAACATTTAGACTCAATATGTATTAGAATTCTGGCTCTGGCCTGGTGGTGGTGATGCACACGTTTTTTAATCACAGCTTTTGGGAGGCAGAGGCAGGCGGATCTCTTGTGAGTTGGAGGCCAGCCTGGTCTACAGAGCAAGTTCCAGGACAGTCAAGGCTATACAGAGAAACCCTGTCTCAAAAAAAAAAAAAAAAAAGAATTCTGACTCTGCAAATTACAAGAAAAATTAAACAAGTTCTTAAATTACTGAGTTTTTTAAATGTATATGGTTAATGCTTTAAATAAAATTAGATACAGTGCTACAAAGGAATATATATGAGATCTTATTTTCTCAATAATAAAGTTGCTTTTATAATAAAGTGGTACATTTTTGAACCAAATGTGGTGTTAGTATAAATGTTTCATTACATTGTTTCTGCTTCTGTCTCCTAGAATGGCAACATTGTAATCTTGACATGTAGAATACTATGTGCAGTTCTATAAGAAATAGACTTTACTTGTAATTGTTATCTATATTTTGTGAAATAATGGCATAACACAAACCTTCAGCTTAAGAATGTTACATCATACACTTCTTTGGTAAACTCAGTTTTGGTTGGTGATCACATTTGCCTGGCGTCTCGAATGCTTTTGGAAGCGATACTAGATGATAAGTTCCAGGATAGTTCCTGGCATCCTCTCATAAAATCAGGTGTGTTGGTTCCTGATCAGCAGTCAGACTCTGGAGAGTTCCCAAACTCTGGCTTTATCTGACTGGAGACCTCAAGGTCTCTGCCTATGGAACCTTTCGTCTTGACCTCGTTCTTTACAACCAGGTCCTAAGTTGATGTTATTCTTTGCATTACAGATGGAGAAATAGTTAATTTGCCTGAAGTTGCTTATGTGATGAAAATCCATAGCTGTTGACTTAGAAGTCAGTGTCTGTCAATTTTGGATGCAGTCAGAAGGCTGCAGATTTAGACATCATGGGGAGCCAGAGGCAGGGCCTCGGGCGAGAATGGCAACACCACTCAGGTGCTGGGAGATGCTTCAGTAGTAAAGTGCCGGCAGAGGGCCCAAGTTTCGATCCCCAACGCAGAAAAGCCAGGCATGGTGGAGGATCTGTGGACTTGAACCAGTCAGTGAATCTAGGGTCAATGGAAGAACCTGTCTCAAAAACTCAGTGGTTAAGAGCACTGGCTGCTCTGTCAGAGGACCCAATTGGTGACTCACCGTCATCTGCCACTCTGGTTTTAGGGAACCTGACTCCCTCTTCCAATCTCTGCAGGCACACACATGGTGCCCAGAAATAATTCAGGCAAAACACCCATACTCATAAAAACAGATCCTTAAACATCAAACTAAGGCAGAGAAGCAATTGGGGAAGACCCTGTTGACCTCTGACCTCTTCACGTGCACACAGGGGCACTCGCAAATACATACACACATGAACACACACTGCAGAAAGAGTGGCTCCAGAATGTTACAGGGTCGTGTTCTTCCACCGCCTTCTCTGCTGTTCTCCAAAGTGGCTTCAACCTAAGACTGGCTTCACATTGAAAAGAAGGTATCAGTAGCCAGGCATGGTGGGGCATACCTTAAACCTCAGTGCTCAGGAGGCAGAGGAGGGAGGATCTCTGTGAGGCCAGTCCCATCAACATGATGTCCAGGCCAACCAGGGCTCCAGAGTGAGAGACCTCATTTCAGACATGCAAACAAAGAGGGGGATATTAGTGATCCAGGAATCACTTCACACAGGGCAGTTTCCCCAGTCTTATGAAGTTCTGTGGTCATTTGATCTGTGTTAAGAGAAATATAGCTTTCCAGAATCCCTCATGGGAGGCTTTCTTTCACTAGGGTGAGCCATATTTATATCACCCATCCGTAAAATGAAGTAGCTCCCACAGCTGCTGGAGCTAGGAATGGAGGAGGATATAAAATCCTGCTACGGTTTATGTCCGTTGTATGGAGGGTGGGTGTGACCCGGAAGCTAAAGGAGAGGGGTGGTTGTCATAGGCAGTTGTGGTGTCTGGGTTGCTGTGAAGATGTGTGTTGGTAAACAAACAGATGCTGTGGTCAGGCATGTACTCGTTACATGGCTCCAGGCCCTACGCTCCATGTTAAGGAAGACTTACTATGGAAAAGATACAATTATACTTCCCATTACCTTACCCTCTTGTCCCCTCATTCCTATCATTCCTGTAACTGTAGAAAAAAAATTCAGTTTGGCTGTAACTGGGAGACATGGACAGGGAAGTGTTTGGGGGCTACCAGTTATGCCAATAATCAATAGAGAAGATGTTTGATATGCAAGATAGCTTATATTACTTGTCTAGAATGACCAGAAGACAAGCCCTTGGGTATGCCTATCCTAATCAAGACCAGGAAGACCCACCACAACTATGAGCCACGTCATTCCATGGGCTGGGATCTTGGACTGGATAAGAAGGAGAGAAGGATCTGGGTGCCAGCGTCCACCACTCTCTGCTGTGGGAACGCAGATGAGGCTGCCTCATGTTTCTGCCACTGTGGCTTCCCGGATGTGGGCTAGAAGAGCCCCTGAAACTGTGAGCCAGAGCAAACCCTTTCTTCCATTGTTTTGTCTTGTCTCAGCAACAGGACAAGTAACTAACACATGATGTGGGATTCATGATAATATGAATATGTTTTATTACCATTGGTTAGTAAAGAAGCTCCCTTGGCCTAAGGCAGGGCAGATTATAGGTAGGTGGGAAAACTAAACTGAATGCAAGGAGAAAGAAGGCAGGGTCAGGCAGACGCCATGTAGCCACTGAAGAAGCAAGAGGTAACAAACCATGGGCCTCATGGTAAAATATAAAATAATAGAAATGGGTTAATTTAAGATAAAAGAGCTAGCTAGAAATATGACTGAATCATCAGCTCGAAACAGGAAGCTGTCTCTTAAAGAAGCCACACTTCTGTTCACCACCGGCAAACAGAGCCTATTTGAAAAAAAAATGCAGTTATCAAGAAGTTGCATTTGACTCCCATTTTTGTAGGTATTGAAGTCCTTCTTTAAAAAAAAAAAAGCTCTCTTAGACTTTATGTGGATATTCTTGCTAATCGTTTGGATGCCATTTGTAGACAGAAGACTGCTCGTTTGTTTCCCAGCTGCCCAGACCTGAATAATCACACAGAAACTATAATAATTACAACACTGTTTGGCTGATGATTCAGGTGTATTTCTGGCTAGCTCTTACATCTTAAATTAACCCATTTCTATTATTTTATGTTTTACCATGAGGCTCGTGGTTTGTTATCTCTTGTTTCTTGGGCGGCTACATGGCATCTGCCTGACCCTGCCTTCTTTCTCCTTGCATTCAGTTTAGTTTTCCCACCTACCTATATTCTGCCCTGCCATAGGCCAAAGCAGCTTCTTTTTTAACCAATGGTAATAAAACGTATTCATAGTATACAGAGGGGAATCCCACACCAAATACAGAGTTATTGGTTGAGATATTCCGAGTTATGGAGAGGAACTGTTTCCTGTCAAGGCCTGCCAGGTTGAGATAAGTAGGAAGAGGCAAGAACAAGTGGAGGATTCCTGAACAGAAAGAAATGTCTACTGAATAAGCAGTCCTGGCTGTGATAGAATTAGACTATAATTGAGAGGTCAGGAAACTATAGTGGGTTATTGGAAGTTAAGGCTGAGCTAGAAGAAGTACCACCAAAAACATTTCTGGAGGTGAGTCAGACGGACACATTGATAGCAGAGGCATGGTCCTTCAGGAAAACACAAGAAAATATGAATGGTTGACAAAATTAATAAGACGTGCTTCACACCAATCATTAAGTTTGTCTGGGAAGTGATTATTCTTAAATCTGTTCACTGGAATTTCTTGAAATAGACTTGGTAGTTCACTTTTTTTCTCTTTTTTTCTCTTTTTTTCCTTTTGGTTTTTCAAGACAGGGTTTTGCCGTAATTTTGGAGCCTATCCTGGAACTAGCTCTTGTAGACCAGGCTGGCCTCGAACTCACAGAGATCCGCCTATCTCTGCCTCCCAAGGGCTGGGATTAAATGTGTGCGCCACCACCGCCCAGCAGTAGTTCACACTCTTAGCATCAGCACGTGGGAGGTAGGTAGGAAAGAGGATAATGCATTAAAAGTCATTCTCAGCTTCGCAGAATATGGAAGTTTCTCGTGGGCTACATGAAACTGTTTCCCAAAACTATGGAAAGAAATTATTTCCTAAATTTTATATGGCAAATATCTAATAGTCCAACATATTTTTGAAGTTTTACAAAGTTGGATTTTTTTTTTTTTTTTTTTTTTTAGTATTCCATAGGATTGCGTGTGTCAGTTCAATCAGCAAATTTATTGTGCATCTGAGAAGGGCTGCACAAGTGTAGGACAGGGCATGTCATATGTCATATGAGCAGGACAGTGACCCAGGCAAGAACCTTGGACTAGAGAAGATAGCAGAGGGTGTAGCTAAGGACAGATCTGAAATACATTTTATGTATGAAGCCAGTAAAACTAACGGGATATTGAAGATGAATAAGAAAGAGGAATCAGGATAACACCAGATTTTTGGTTTCAAAATTGGTGAGATGGAGGCTTGGGAGAAGGCGCCATGGCTAAGAGCACCAGCTGCTCTTGGCGGGTGATTGAAGTTTTATTCCCAGCACCTACATCGGGTGACTCACAACTGGCTGTGTAGCTGCAGCTTCGGGGGATCTGGTGCCTCCTCCTGGCCACCACAAGTACCTGCACACAAGTGTGCGTGCTAACAAATACCACACAAATAAATTTAAAAACCGTATCTATAAACCCCTGGTGAGTTGGTATCGTTTAGCAGAGGGGAGCAAAGCTTTTGTGGCTGGAGGAAGGTGAAAGAGAATGGAAACAGAGTGTTCTGTCTTGAACTTCAGTTCAAATAGCCCATTAAGACACCTAAGTGCTTAATTGAAACAGACTGTTTTATGTTCGCATTTGAAGCTTGGGCCAGAGTGGAGGTATAAATTTAGAACTCACTGGCATATGGATGAGTTATGAGCCGTGGAGCTGGGTGAGAACACTAGAGAGTTCAGACAGTCCTGTCCAGTACCGCTGTCTGTGACGATGGAAGTGTCGGCGTCTGCGTTTGTACACTGTTCACACGCACCCAAAATGAGCACTTGCAATGCGGCTAGTGCAACTGAACTGGATTTTAATTTTGTCTCATCGTGTTCTATCATTTCACATTTAGACAGACACCTATGACTAGTTGTGTTAATTCTCCCACAGCTGTGACAAAATAACCTGGTAAATGCGATTTAAGGAAGGAAGGAATTATTCTGACTCCAGTCTGAGGGTACAGTCCGTCGTGGTCGGAAAAGAAAGCGTGGCAACGGACACGCGAGGCAGGTAATCTCTTGCCAGGCCCGTGGCACTTGCAGTCAGGAACCAGAGACAGACAATTGCTCGTCCTTAACCTGCTTTCTCTTGTCCATCCAGTCTGGGCGTAAGTCCATGAAATGGTGGCACCCCCAGTTCGGGTGAGTCCTTCCATCTCAACTGACCTAAGGAGCATCACACTCGCACCTAGAAGCTCGTCTCCTGGGGGATTCTAGGTGCTGTTGTCAAGCTGACAGTCCATATTCATCACGACACGAGTGGACACTGCATCGAATAGCACAGGATAATCCCAGAACTTGGGAGGAAAAGGCAGACGGATCTCTGTGAGTTCGAGGCCAGCAGGGTGAGTTCCAGGACAGAGGCTCCAAAGCTACAGAGAAACCCTGTCTCGAAAAGCAAAAACAAAACAAAACAAAACAAAATGGTAATTCTACCTACAGTTTACTGTCTCGACTTTGCTCTTGCTGTTGTTCTAGGCGTGAGCGCTTGGCTTCCTCCTGTTCCTGCGGCCGTGCCTGCTGAATGTTGCCATTCCTTTCCGCCATGAGGAACTCTTACCCCTTCAGAACTGTAAGTCAAATAAACCCTTCTCTCTGTAAATTGACTTTGTCATGGTGTTCTGTAACAGAAGTAGAAAGTAACAAATACAATCGGCTACAGGAACCAAGACAGGAAAATGATTTAAGGATCAGAGTTCAATCAGTCCTGTGCATGTTGCTGATGGGTAAGCATGTCGAGTACTTGGAACAGGTCAGTCACTGGGAATCTAAACAATAGCCTTGTTCCATAGCATAGTACATGCTGGAAAGCAGTTGAGAATGAACAGGAAAGAGACCAAAAAAATGAAGAAAATCAGATCTCTCTCTCTCTCTCTCTCTCTCTCTCTCTCTCTCTCTCTCATACACACACACACACACACACACACACACACACTTACTTACTTATTTATTTATTTACTTGGTTTTTCAAGACAGGTTTTCACTATGTAATAGCCTTGGCTGTCCTGGAACTCGCTCTGTGAACCAGGCTGGCCTCGAACTCACGGGGATCCCCCTGCCTCTGCCTCCTGAGTGCTGGGATTAAAGGTGTGTGCTACCACCACTGCTGGCTGAAATCAGATTTCTCATTAGGCATTTCCAATTTTTCCTTAATGGGAAATGGTCATCTTGGATAAAAGATGACAGAGAATTTGGAACTGAGAAAATGTAATTTTCCTCTGTGGTTGACACACTGTGAGGATCAGAGACGGGACCTTGAGAATGTTTAGGTAAGCCCTTAGCCCAGAATTGCGCTCTTAGTTCCGAGGAAATTTGTTTTAAAATGAGAATTTGGGATATTTGCTGTTAAAGAGCTCCAGTGGAGGAAAGGAGTGTGGCAACAGGAGGGAAGTTCTGCAGAAGATGAAATGGGTTTGAATTTAGAACCTAAGTCAAGAAGGTGGGCTTTTAGAGGAGTGAGCCTTACTCCATTAACCTCTTGGAGCACTGGGGTGGAGATGCAGGTACATGGAAGTTTGTAGACCTGATGATGAATGGATGAGAGCATGAAGATGCGTGTGCGTGTGTGTGTGTGTGTGTGTGTGTGTGTGTGTGTGTGTGCGCGCACATGCATATGCACGTTGGTGCACGTGTGTATGTGTGTGTGTACATGCAAATTTGTGTGCTGCATATGTGTGTGTACATGTGGACATGCAAATGTGTGTGTGTACGCACGCGCGCATGTGTGTTACCGAGTGAGAGAAGGTACAGGGTAGCAATCTTGAGTAACTGGCACCCTCACCAGGACCAAAGCAATTAAAATTGCTGTGGAAGCCAGGGTTGGTGGGGTAGGCCTATGATTACAGCACCGGAGAGGAGGAAGCAGGAGACTCAGCTCAGGACTTAGAGACTGTCTCACAAACAAAACACCTATTAAAACTGTGATAACAAACATGAGAGAAAACAGTCAACATATTTTTCATATTTTCCTTCCCACAGGAAAAGGCAGCTAATTGCCTCTAAGCAGAGTCAGTTTTGACAGGTGGGCACAACACAGAGAGACTGAGGGATTTTCTTCAGAAAGATTGGGTAGTGAAGACAGAGGGCGGAGGTGTGGGAGGGGATGCATAGTGAAGGTGTGGGAAGAGTGGATTAGAAGGTTGGAGGGTTGGGCTGAGGCTGTGTTCTTACAACATACCTGCTGTACAAGATGTATGACTGCATGAAGCCCTGGGTTTAATCCCCAGTACCACATAACACTGGGTTTGGTGCATGCCTGTAATCCTACATAGCAAGTACTAGGCCCGCTCAGGATGTCTTAGATCCTGTCTCAGAAACAAAAAGGAAAGGATTAAGATTGAACGATGGAAATCTTGCCGCGAAGTATCCAAGTAGTAGTCACAGTGGAAAGCGGAGGCAATAGTGCGTATCTCTTGGGGGTGTTTAGGGTATGACGGTGAGCATGAATGAAAACGTTCAGTAGCATCCCCCATACTGAAGTCACTGAATGAAGAAGAGGAAAATAGTCAGCCAGGAGCTCAAATCTGAAAAGAGAGCTGAAGACCCCAGAAGAGCTTTAGGTATAAGCTGGATTTCTTCCTGCACCCCCAGACCTCTTGTGTCTGTTATCCGAAACCTGTGGACTAGAATCAGCAGGCTTCCTTGCTCTGGTACTGGTTGGATGTGGCCAATATGGGCCTAGCTGCTGGAGTCTAGCCCTTGGAGGGAAGACTATGTCCTTGAACTTAAGATCTCTTCTCTTTTTCATGATTTTTCCTGTGTGTAGCTCTTCGAAGTCCTAGCTCTCCACTGTTACTCCATTCAGCCCTGGTCCATTGCCAATCCCCCTTGATTACTGCACACACTCCTTGGATTTTCCCTACCCTGTTCATGCTTTTACTAAGGTCTTCTTACTTCCTACCTTGCTTGCTTGCTTCCTTCCTTTCTTCCTCTCTTTGTCGTTTCAGGACAGGGGCTCTCTGTGTAGCTCTGGCTTTCCTGGAGCTCACTCTGTAGACCAAGCTGAACTCAAACTCAGAGATCTGCCTAGTTCTGCCTCCTGAGCACTAGGATCGAAGGCATTTACCACCATTGCCTGGCTTTGGTCTTTTTCTTAAAGTCTGCTTAAATAAATCTAATAGGCATGTACTGTCAACACATACTACAGGGTGGTAAGAACTTCAGAGGAACCAGAGTTTTAGGAGGGAGCAGAAAAGGGAACAGGAGAAGTGTCTTCCCCATATCCTAGGTGGGTGTGAGAAACATGGTCTCTATTTGAGAGGCATACCAGGAACATGTGGGAGAGCGAGGCCTTGGCTTAAGCAGTGAAGGAGGAAAGATGTTCCAAGATGAGAATATCACAAGTCATATATTAAGAAAGGCAGGGGACGGGAAGGATTCAGAGGGCGAGGAACGAGCTGAATCAGACTGGGGGGTTTTAAATAATTCAGTTTTATTTAAAAGGTAAGACTCAATGGTATGGATGATCTGGCAGGCTTCTGGAATCGAAGTAGTTGGGAATATAGGCAGGCTCCCGTTTTTAGTCCCAATCTCCCAGCCCCTATTACGTGGTGTTCCCAAGACACCACACTAGGGATATAGGGCTAATGCAGGAGCAGTTGACACCCAGGGCTAATGCAGGAGCAGTTGTTGACGCCCAAGCGGTGACTTAACAATAAGACTGATTATGTGAAGCACCAACCTCTTGGCAGAGTCTCCTAGAGAAGAGCCACCAATCCATGCGCTGCCCGCGTGTGGAGACTTGTAGAAACCTGGACAGCTAGATCCCTTGCCACCAGAGAATCTATCGGTTCTCGTAAAGACAGACTAGTATGGGCAAGAAGGCTGAAGATTTCCTGTAAGAACCACGGAGCCCACCTTGATCAGTATTTTGCCTTCCAGGATAAGGTAGGATAAAGAGAGATGTCCTCTGTCTGGGCTGGAGACAGAACTGGGCCATGTGACCACCAGTAATGGTGGTTGTGCATCCTACACTAAAGGTCTTCAGAAAGTTAGTGATAAATACTGTCCCAGGGCAATCCAGGGACTCCTGTAGGCGAGGCTTTTTCTAGTTATCCATGTTAACATCTGTTTGAGTCATTACTATTTACCTGCCTGAAGCCAGTAATCTAAGACTCCTCAAGGGCTAACCCTTGAAGACTATGTAGTACTTTATTATGAGTATTATAATCAGTTTGTGCATGCTTCTTGTATGCCAAGCAGTTGAAACCTAAACTATCTAATTTAATTCTCATAAAAAATACTACGAGATAGATACTATTAGGACCCTCCTTTTACAAATGAGGACCTGGAGTTACAGAAAGGTAACTCATTTTCTCTGGGTTACAAAGTCCATAAAAATCTGGATTCACTCCTCATCAGTCTAATTCTTTATTCTTTATTTTTAAAGTCACCTATAGTATCATTAAAACTTTTGTAACTTGGGGCCTGGAGAGATGGCTCAACAGTTAAGAGCACTGGTTGCTCTTCCAGAGGACCCAGGTTCAATTCCCAGCACCCACATGGTAGCTTAGAACTGTCTGTAACTCCAGTTTCAGGGGATCCACCACCCTCACACAGACAAATGTACACATAAAATAATCGAAAAGCTATTGTCACTTACATGAGCTACTATGCTATGAACAAAGCAAGATAGAAATATGCTTTTTCTTTCTAAAAAACAATACCCGACTTTTCACTTATAGAATTGAAAAAGAATAGGTTGTTTTTTGAGGCAGGGTCTCACGTAGCCCAGGTTGTCCTCACTCTTACCATGTAATTGAGAATGGCCTTGAATTTCTTTTTTTTTTTAATTCTTTTTTTTAAGATTTATTTATTATGTATACAGTGTTCTGTCTGCATGTATGCCACCAGACCAGAAGAGGGCACCAGATCTCATTACAGATGTTTGTGAGCCACCATGTGGTTGCTGGGAATTGAACTCAGGACCTCTGGAAGAGCAGGCAGCACTCCTAACCTCTGAGCCATCTCTCCAGCCTCCTGGCCTTGAATTTCTTATCTTCTTGCCTTCACCTACGAAGTGTTGGGATTATAGCTGAATGGTGGGATCAGGCTCAGGGCCTTGTGCATGCTAGGTAACCATTTGAATAACTGAGCTATATCCTCACCCTAATAAAAGGTTTTAAATACAAAAAAAGGCATACTTTTAACATTTCAACAAAGAATTACTTTCTTAAGCCAGGCATATAGTAGCATATACATCCTGGCCCTCAGGAGGCTAAGGTAAGAGGATCATCCTGAGTTGGAGAATGTATAGTGCTATAGAGTGAGACTCTGTCTTAAAACAACAAAAGCAAACAGCAGAGGTGTGGTGGCACAAGCCTATAATCTCAACACAGGTGGAATCAGAAAGATAGGGTTCAAGACTACCCTGGACTACATAAGAGCCTACTTTAAAAATACCACCACCACCACCAGTCAGAAAAACAACTACACAACACACAAGTACATTCCTAGACTCTCCTGGGAAATAAACCATGACATTTTTCTTAAATGATAATCACAATGACTTTAAGTTTCAAGGTCGTTGGCTTTATAGGTTTTGATCAGTAAGGTTAAAAAGGTTTTCTTCATTAAGCACCCCTTATCTTTGTTAACTTTCTTACCTTCCCAATCCTCCATTCTCCTCAGAACTCCTCCTGGCATCTCCCCTGAATCCTTTCCCCCTCTTTTATATATACGGCCCCCAACATCTCCCCTTTTCTTTTTTGTTTTTTTGAGACAGGTTTTCTCTATGTAGCCCCGATTGTCCTGTAACTCACTCTGTAGATCATGCTGGCCTTGAACTCATAGAGATCCCCCTGCCTCTGCTCTGAGTGTTGGGGTTAAAGGTGTACGCCACCGCCCGGCTGACATCCACTTTTTTTTCTCTAAAAGATTGCTCTCTGCGCCTCAGAGATTTTCGTCATTGATAGGAATACAAATTCTGTCTTTCATCCTATTGGACTAATTATTAGCCTTTAACTTTAATGCAAAGAGAAAGCACAGTAAACTTCCTGTTAAATTTGTATATGCAAGCCACATGGCACCTCAATGATGTCCTGCAGCCATCTAATGTGAACCATTTTCTAAGTGAGGAAGTGGAGACTTTACCATGGTAGTGAGTACTGACAGCACCTTGACTTCCTGTGCTGTGTTGTGTTGTGTTGTGTTGTGCTGTGTTGTGTTGTGTTGCTGTGTTGTGCTGTGTTGTGTTGTGTTGTGCTGTGTTGTGTTGTGTTG